CAATAACAAAAGTTGAGGCTTGAATTTTTTCTTCAGTTCCCTCAGCTTGAGAAATGCTGAGCATGTTCTTCCTTTTTGGTTTTCTGACTCTAGACCAATCACAGCAACTCTCAAGCCACTAGAGTACTACAAATTGACAGATGAGTGGTGGAAAGTATAAAGAGAATCCAGTTTTAATTGATCTAACAGTGGGATTTTTACTTCCTTGCTCATTTGTTGGTTACTTGCTTGCTTGCTTGGATGTTTTAGCTAGCACACTTGTGATCTGTGCCACTTTTCAGCCCATTTGTGAGATGGCTGACCAGTAAGCAGTGGCCAGAAAACTTCATGCGGCTCCATAACATGGTTACAATTAGGGGTGACAGGAGTGACTGAAGGGTATACTTGAACTTGACACAAGAAATAAAGGACTGGTGAGAAACAGAATTAGAGGAGCACAGGCTATAAGGCCAGACAGTTTTACTAAGATCCCGATTTCATCACCTAGTAGTTGTGTGTCTAGGGGAAAGTCAGTTAGCCTCGTTGTACTTTCGTTTCCTTATCTGTAATTTGAACCTATTAATAATAATGATGATACTGAACACATTGGTAAGTACTTGGTAGATATTAAGTGCTCACTTCATGTTAGTTTTCATCACTGTGTACATGTGTCGTGAGTGTATATGTGTTTACAACATCCTCTTCCCACAGATTTGCATGAGAAATTACATGGGCATATCACAATGGAGAACAGAAGTCCCTCTACCAATTCTACAATTTTGTAAGACACTGTCCCAAAATCTGATATCCATATATGTGCTCATTCATTCCAAAGAAAGTTGTCCCAATTGAATGCAGAAGTCACTCAAAAATACCCTTAATATCACATGCAAGTAAAATTTGCTGAAGATAATCCAAATTGGATTGCAACAGTACATCAACATAGAGCTATCATAAATTCAAACTGGATTTCAGAAGATGAGGTGGAATGAGGGATATCATTGCTGATGTCAGATGGATCCTGGCTCAAAGTAGAGAACACAAAAAAGATGTTTACTGGTGCTTCATTGACTATGCAAAGACTTTCCACTGTGTAGATCATGAAAAACTATGGTTAACATTGCAAAGAATGGGTATTTCCAAACACGTAATTGTGCTTATGAGGAACCTGTACATAGACCAAGAGGCAGTCATTTGAACAGAACAAGTGGATACTCAATAATTTAAAATCAGGAAAGGTGTGAGCCAGGGTTGTATCTTTTACCGTACTTATTTAATCTGTATGTTGAGCAAATAATCCAGAAGTTGGATTATATGAAAAAGGTGTAATCAGGATTGGAGGAAGACTCATTAACAACCTGCAATATACCTATGATATAGCCTTGCTTGCTGAAAGCAAATAGATCTCAAAATATTTTCTGAAGAAGATCAAAGACTACAGCCTTCAGTATGGATTGTATCTCAATGTAAAGAAAACAAAAATCCTCATGACTGGGCCAAAATATAACATCATGATAAATGGAGAAAAGATTGAAGTTTTCAAAGACTATTTTGTTTAGATCCACAATCAACACTCATGAAAACAGCAGTCAGGAAATCAGATGACATTTTGCATTAGGCAAATCTGCTGCACAAGACCCTTTTTTGAGAATTGAGGTGTGCCTGACCTAAGCCATAGTCTTTTCAATTGCATCAAAATGCATGTGAAAGTGGGACAATGAGTAAGGAAGACTAAAGAAGAATTGATACATTTGAATTATGGTCTTGGAGAAGAATATTTAAAAATTCCATTAACTGGCAGAAGAACAAAAAATCTGTATTAGAAGTACAGCAGATATTCATTAGAAACCAGGATGGTGAGACTTTGTTTCTCATATTTCTGAAATGTTATCAGGAGGGACCAGTTCCTAGAGAAAGACATCATACTTGGTAAAGTTGAGGGTCAGCAAAAAAGAGGAAAACCCTCAAGGAGATAGATTAACATAGTGGCAGCAGCAATGGGTTCAAATGTAACTACAACTGGAAATGTGCTCTTCCTGTGAGACAATCCCAACCCCACAACTAATGTTGTGACTGATGATGACCAGTAGTAGTATGGCTTGGCTATACAGTCATGGGACACCAGGAATGTGTGCCACATTGTGAGTCTGCAAAAGGAAAATCAAGCAATGGGAGAATATGGTGTCAGAAGATGAGAAAAGGGAACATTAGTAGAGCCCAGAGAATAGAACTTGATTGTGAGCCTATCCTCAGATCCCTTCACCAGGGGATTCTATAATGGTGAGAAAGAAGAGTCTCTTGGAAGAAGACTGAAATGGACATTTGGAAGGTAGAGGAGAGAGAACAGAAAGGGAACTTAAGGAATTCATGAGAGGCTTAACTACACTCAAAATTGGCATTGATTTACTCCATTGCTTAAGAAAACAAAAATCTGAGAGGTAACCAATTAAAATTTCTGAGAATTTGAGAAATGTGAAGAGGATTGTGTGTCTCCAAAAATTCAACAGCTGTACCACACTCACTGGCCACCAAGTTGAGAGACTTTACTGTGAAGGTCAAAGAGGGTATTGAGAAGGAGGGGAATGGCACTTGTCTGATTTAGGGTACTTGTCTTCGGACCATAGGTAGTAGGGGTTAGCTAGACGGGATGAGTCCATCACTGTGGCCCTGAAGATGCCACAGATACCAGGACACCCAAGGCCTCTGGACTGGGAAAAGGTGATCCTGAAAGACAATGGAACTTAAGTCACTTTGAAAAAAAAATTATAACTCTGTATTTGTTCTTCTGTTTTGTAGACCTGGTGTTCCAGGGCAAAGGGAAATGGGAGCAAGGTTAAATAGGAAATGAAAGGGCGGGTAGAATGAAAATGTATCTGAGATTCCTTGGAGATTTCCCTTTGTTTGAGGAAAGTCACTAAATCTAAAGGAGGGTAGCACTGTAGCTTCCCCCCCTCCCCCCCCACATCCTCCCAGCTATAGTGTGTGTGAGTCTATTCCTGACTCTAAACAATACTCAGTTCAGAGCCACTTCCTTTGGGACCTATTGGTCTTGTGCCCTCAAAGCTCTGTGAGTCTTAGCAAGGCCAATGAAGCTATTAATACAATCCATACTAAAGTGTAACCTAGGAAAATTAGCAGCAGTTTTCATATCTGGCCAAGACTTAAAAGAAACCAGGAACTGAAGCCAGTAAGGAACTCAGGAACCAGACAAAAAATAGTTGAGGCAAAGGCCTCTAGTCTGTTGGGCCACATTCCAATTCCTCTGAGTCATACAGCATCTCTTTGTTTCCCTTCAGGTGACCACCACTGCCGTCAAGAGATGATGGATTTTCCAATTTCCCTGGACTCCTTGTATCAAGTACCAATGCCCAGCAGTCTTTTCTTATTCATCCACCTCCTTCTCCTCTTCCCACCTGGGAAGCTGAATTCAGGTAGTGTGCTTTATCTGTGTGTATCCTTTCCAGTCAAGACATGAGAAATTCAGCTTCTGTCCATCTTTCCTTCCCTTGGATTGCAGCCTTAAGCAGATATCCTATAACTTAGCACCAAGCTGAACCAGTGGCTTAAATACACAATGATTTCTATTTCAGTTATTAAATTACTACTTCTTCTGAGCATCACCTAGCCTCTTACTGCTCCACTACCATTTCTCCAATCAACACAATCCCTTATCCATTTTTCCATGAAACCAAGTTAACAAGTATCAATGGAGACATAGTGGGAAGATGCCAGGAGACGCTCATTAGTTTGTGCTTGTGCTGAGTCAGTTTGTAAATATTTTTACTCTACTCCTGTGTATTGACCATAGCTTTGGAGAAGCAGGAAGGACCTCAGTCTGACTATCTCTCATTAAAGAAGTATGTAATCTAAATATATAAATGCAATTCACAATCCCCTGGGCTGGAAACCAGGGATACCTTGAAGATTGTAGCACAGCCCAGGTTCTCAAGTAGCTTGTAGTCAAGGTAAGACAATTGACACAACCTAGGCAGCTATTCAGATGCGTGACGAAGGCTGCAAGAGAACCATATCCAAAGACTTACCCTAAGAGAGCAATTTGGTTTTACTCACAAAGCCAAGAAAAGCCATAAAGAGGAGGTGCTGTTCAAGCTGAGCCTGGCAGAATGCATATTCTCCAGGAAGATGACAGGTGGAAGATAAACTGAGTTAGGGTGTGTCCATGGAAGTGCCAGACATCAGGTGTGGAAGGACAGCTAGTTAGAGAGAACCTGAACAGGAAAGCTGGTAGGAAGGGTTTGGAGCTTCAACCAGCAGGCAGCCTGGTAATGTGAACAAAAATAAGCTGCCTCCATGTTCTGTGAGCAAAGTGAAGAATGGAGAGGGATTCATGGATGGAGAGCTTTGTGGATGGGATTTTAGCTGATCCTAGAGGAAGGAAAGGAGGTGCACCAAGGTCAGAGAGAAGAAAGTGAGGAAATGCCAAGTGGCAGGGAATAGTGGCAAGAACATCAGCAGGAACCACCAACTCATGAAATTGAAGAAAACAGATTAGCTTGAGAAAGCAGAGAGGCTGCATGGAGACATCACTGATAAAGAGGACAATCAAATGAAAGATCATGATAATAAAAGTCTTAAAGGTAAGATTTGCTCTTTAGATAGAAAAATCTATGAAACACAGAGTCTCTGTAGATTATTTTTAATACACGTTGTTATTGCAAAAGTTGTACTGTGTATTATAAAACAAAACTAGAAAATCAGACAAGCACAAGTAAGAACATTTAACTTCTTATTGTACAGAAATGACCACCATCAATAAATTGTTCTAACTCCTTAGATACTTTTTCTCTGTACATTCGTACAAATGTGTGTTTTGCTTCATAGTATACATACTGTTTTGAGCCTTGCTTTTTGTGATAAAGATTCCATTTCAGTGACTTTTCATTTTATTTAATTCCTTGACCATAATCAAATTTACATTATTGTCTACAAAATAACAGTTGTAGCTGGTTAGTTCAAAACCAATAACCAGCCCAGCACCACCTAGTATATCTGGTTGTAATGTCTCTTATATAATTTTTAGTCTAACAACTCATATCAATTACTTATTCTAGAAAACAGGCCATTGGTCCTATGAAATGTTCCACTTTTGTCATTTCACTTATTTTACTGGAAAATGGTGTAATGAGAAGTCCTATTTAATGAGGGCTAATTTGGGCAAATTCTTGTGGTTTCTTAGACCTAGATGAAGTCAAGGTTGTAGGCCCTGGGGAATCCATCCTGGCCCATGTTGGGGAAGAAGTGGAGTTTTCATGCCACTTGTCACCATACCTGGATGCGGAGCACATGAAGATCCTCTGGTTCAAGAGCCAGGCCTCAGATGTGGTCCACCTGTACCAGGAGCAGCAGGAGCTTTCCCACTTGCAGATGGTGGAGTTCCAAAACAGGACCAAACTCATCAAGGATGAGATCAGAAATGGTAGTGTGATCCTGCAGCTCTACAACATTGTCCCCTCTGATGAGGGCCACTATGGATGCCGCTTCCATTCCAGTGACGTCACCAAAGAAGCTATCTGGGAGTTGGAGGTAGCAGGTGAGTGACCTGGCCATGCTTCAGCAGGGCAAAAGGAGAAGGGACCAATTTGGATAGACCCGTATTGCTTAAGTAGGTCTATAATCACAAGAGAAAGAGAGAATATCCCTAATTTAAAACAAAAATAAATATTAATAAACTGAGGGAAAGGTCAATTAGAAAATGGGCAAGATATATGAAGAGTACACAAAAACAGATAAACAGATGGATCTTAAACTAGGAAAAGGTTATCATTTTTACTCATAATGAGAAAAAGACAAGTGAAACATACTAATATATAATATGGCAAACATTCAAAAGCTGGATGACCCATTGTGTTGGCAGGGCTATGGAGAAGCAGGTCCTCTCATAACTTGGTGGAGTTCAAAATAATGATGCAAATTCCACTAGAGGTAATATGACAATAGTTAATAGAACTGCCTGCACATCTACCTTTAGATACAACATCCCATCTCTGGGAATTTACTCTGAAGCTACAATAACAATATGAAAAGAAAAACACATGTATAAGTTTAATCCTTATAACATTGTTAGTAATTGCAAAATACTGGAAACAGCCTAAAGACCCAAACACAGGGGAAGAATATAGCTTTCCTATACAATGGAGTACCATACAGTGAAAAACAAACACAAAAAATAACAAGCTATACATACACACTGCTATGGAGTGGTTTCTAAGGTATATTGGTAAGAGAATAATGTTGTTGTTGTTGTTGTGCCGTGGAGTCAATTCTGACTCATAGCGACCCTGTACAGGGTTTCCGAGGCTGTAAATCTTTACGGGAGCAGAACACCTCATCTTTCTCCCACGGAACAGCTTGTAGTTTCAAACTGCTGCCCTTGGGGTTCACAGCCCGATTCGTAACCACTACACTACCAGAGAATAATAGCAAGATGTAAAACAGACATACCAACTTTTGTGTATTAAGAAGGAGAACCACTGTAAAAAGAAACATAGGAAGTATAAACCAGAAATGAATGAAATTAGGTAGAATAGGATGGAAGGGATGGAGAAGGACATGGAGCTTTTTGTAACATACATTTTATTGAGATATTTGAGCCATATTACCATTTTACATATTTTTAAATGAAGCTAACTCCACAAGGATGTAGAGGTAAAAGAGCACAGATGCTAGCCCAAGAACTGAGCTCTGGAGGAATCCAAGACCAAAAGATGACAATCTACTAGAATTTGGGGTGGCGCAATTCCTCATTCTGTCTTTTGAATACCAGTAGCACTTTCTCCAAAATGCTCTATTCCTGGTTTTCAAAAGTCCATCAGGGATAGTACTGTGCCTATAAGCAACAATTGATCTAGACTGTCATTTACTGCCATGGTACAAATGGTGAGTGGTGGCATGGGCTTCACATATAGCTTCTGAGAAGGAGCCTGATCTTTCCTGTTCCCTCTGTCTCTCCCAGGAATAGGTTCAGACCCTCATATTTCCCTTGAGGGTTTCAAGGAAGGAGGCATTCACTTGAGGTGCAGCTCCAGTGGCTGGTACCCCAAGCCCAAGTCTCAATGGAGGGACCATCAAGGACAGTGCCTTCCTCCAGAGTCTGAAGCCATCATCCAGAATGCCCAGGGCCTGTTTGATGTGGAAACATCCATGGTCCTCCGAGAAGGAACCCTCAGCAATGTGTCCTGCTCCTTCCAGAACCCCCTCCTGGCCCAGAAGAAAGAGTGTGTGGTCCAAATAGCAGGTCAGTAACTGCCAGGTCACCTTTGCCTTCATAGTTATCTTGTTTTCCAAGTCAATTTTCCTAAAGCCAGTCTATAAGGACACAGTGACCTGTATGCATACCGGGTAGACTGGGCTTCCCACTTGAAAAACATTAGCAACTAAGAGCATAACTGACCACCCACACAGTAATGGAGGATGGGGCATGGGAGAAAATGCTCAAAGACCATGCACTGAATCTCATAATCTCTTCTCATTAGAAGTTATCATGAGAGCCTAACCTGTCAGTTACCTTTGAATAACCTCCTACTTATGGCAACCACATATGTGGCTAGTGGAATTGTACTAGGGCTTTATAATAGCTGATTTTTGAAAGTAGATTGCTAAGCCTTTTTTTTTCTGAGGTAGCTCTGGGTGTATTAAATATATATATGTATATATAGTTATCAGCTGAGAATTTGCACCACCCAGAGATTATCCATGATTACCTACTTGTTCTTAATTTAATCCTTTAAGAAGTATTTATTGAGCACTTACAATGTTACTGGACAAAAATCTGACCATCAGCTACTGTAGCCAGTATCAGAGATGGGGTGAGAATCAACGTATATTTTATTGAAAGATCTGGAAGGCAGCAAGAATCCTTCTCTGAAAGACTACCTTCCCTTTCCCCCCATTCAGTCTGAACCCTTATATCACTGTAGGTATCAATCGATCTGCATTGTTGCATTCTTTTCTCAGAGTTGTATGACTTTGTCATCTGGGGATACAGTTTATGTCTCACTGAGTCATGGAGTCTTACATCCTTGGTCGTGATTGCCCCCAAATAATATTACTAGTCTTTTCAGAAATCTTTGCCTTAAATTACATTCTTTTAAAGATGAGATCATGAACCTCTGGTATTCCTCCCAGCTTATCTTCTTATTCTAGGCTCAAATCAACAATGCAGCACTAAATCCTTGGTCTATATGCTCCTGGAGCACCTGCAAAATCCTAGTCAGGGCAGTAATGGTTGGAAACAATGATTAAAGGATTTGAACAGAGAAGAAAAAAAAAGAATCATATTAAAAACCTCTCATACCCAAAACCTTTGTCCTTGGGTTCATATTCTGGTGGGGCAACAGACAAAATGAGTAAGTCATATTTTAGAAGGTGTTAGGTCCTATGGAGAAAAATGAAGCAGGGAAGAGTGGCAAGAAGCATACATGAATTTAAATGAAATGGGTCAGGGAAGAGATTTAGGCGAGGCCATTTATCTAGTATCAAAATCTAATTGTTTTAAGTCCTGAGGACAACCCAACCTATAAGTTATTTTTCTTATCAGTCCTAATCAAAAGTTACAGTATTATAACTTTTTATAACATAAATATATATTATAATATATTTTGATACAAGGATGACATATCCCATCACATATCTCTAAGGCAAGCAACTTGGTAGCTGCAACTTGGTGTCAAGCACCTAAGTTAAATTCCCATTAGATAGAAAGAGAAAAACATCATCTTCTTTGATGCTTACATCTCAAAGAAATTATTCCTTCAAAAATTCTTGCATTATAAAGCTAGAAAGAGGCTTTAAATTTTTACATACATTTCAAAGGGAAAGAGAAAAAAATTACAAGTTTCTAAAGGAAGTGTTCTAAGAAAAGGTGTGTTTTGGAGGGTGAGGGTAGTATAGTCTCTTCATTTTTTTGCACCAAGGAAAATTCAATGTGTTCTTTTTAAATTTGTGTTTATCCCATCAGAGAATGTGTTGAAGGAGTGGCAAGGAGGCCAGAGAGGTAGGAGTAGATGGACAAGGTGGAAAGTGATGATGATGAGCTCAGGGAGGCAATGGACCTTGAAGGCCTTACTCTTAACACTTAGGTCAGTGTTTGGCAAACCATTAGTGATTCAATGCTTTTGTACAATACTGTGAACATGCATTATTAGAAAAGTGAAAGAAAAAAAAATAAAGACCTCTGCAGTTAAATTTTTTTTAACCATTTATATCATTGGATTCAACGGATACAAATTGCTCAAATTGCCACAAGAGTTTCAAAAGGCTTGCTCTCCATGTTTGTACCTATTTCTTCACTGTCTGTCTTGAGCATGGCCACATCCTGTCTCAGGGCAGATCCTCTGTAAGGAGCCTGGGGAGGGAGGAAGGAACTGTGGTCAGTAAGTACACCTGTGGCTGTGTTATCCCTTTTTCCAAACTTGCCGTGAGAACGAACATAGAAGCGAAATGTTTGCAGCTATGTGAGGTGATTAGTGGATTTCACAGTGCTGGTACTCAGACTAAACCCACTGCCGAGTCAATTATGACTTATATTGACTCTATACAGGCTTTCCTAAACTGTAAATCTTTATAGAGAGCCTTGTCTTTCTCGCAAGGCTGATGGGTTTGAATTGCCGATCTTGTAGTTAACAGACCAATGCCTAACCCACAGTACCATCACGGTTCTTTACAATGTTTGCTGTTTTTAAGTTCCTGAGTCGGTTCTGACTCGCAGCTGCTTCGTATAGGGTTTCCAAGGAATGGCTGGTGAGTGTGAACCACTTACTATATGGCTAGCAGTTCAGTACCTATCCTAGGCGTCACACACCAGGACTCCTACAATGTTTGTTGTTGTTGTTAAGGGCCCTGGAGTTGGTTCCCATAGTGACCCTGTATAGGGCTGATGAATTATGAACCCCTGATCTTGCAGTTCAAACCGACCTTGTGGTCCAGTGCTTATCTTTCAGCACCATACCAGGACTGTTGTTGTTAAGTGCTGTGAAATCTGTTCCAACTCATAGCGACCCTGTATAGGGTTTCCTAGGAACGGTTGGTGAGCTTGAACCTCTGATCTGATGGTTCAAACCAACCTTGCAGCCCAGCGTATTAACTCGCAGCACCACACCAAAGCTAGAGAACAGTAATTACCTGGGTTTCAAGTATTCTAGTGTCGCGTGTAGGACTGAATGGACGGAAGAAGAGGGAGGTCAGGAGCAGTGGTTACAGAAGTTCTAAATTGGGTGGAGTGCGTGGGGCCTACAATATTGTCTCTTTTTTTACATCCTTTAGTTTGCAATACTTTGCCTCTCTACTATACGAGTTGAGGTCTGCAGCCGCTTTTAAGTCCATTTTACAAATTGCTATGCTAGAGGGTTTGACGGACTAAACGAAAGTCACTTGGAATATTTTCCAGTAGGTGAGTTCCAGAATAGTCTTCTCACTTAGTGTTGAGTTATGTCTAACTCTAGGCAACTCCCTTGGGGTGTTTTCCAGATGTGTTTTTACCTAGAACCTCCCCCTGGAAGGGTGCTTTCCTTGGAATTCTAGCGGTTCTGCCCCTACTCCTGGCTCTCCTCGCGATACTGTCGCTGTACTTCTTTCAAAAGCAAAGGACAACCCAAGGTAGGTGGGAGGCCCAGGACCGTCCTAATTCTGCTTTGCAGAGGAGGGAAATGGTATTAAAAACAAAAAGGTACGTGTGCCCAGGGTGGCAGGGAATGGCGGCAGAAACTGGATGATAGTGTCTGGGTGGCAGGTGGAAAAGGCCTGGAAGGTGCAATCTCACTTCTCCCTCTCTTTCTTCTTTTCAGAGAAGCTAAAGAAGCAGGCAGAGAATGAAAAAGGTAACTCTGAAAGAGCCATGCTTTTTCCTCACATCCCTGACTGTCAAAGGGATGTTGGGTCAACAAATCAGGCCCAAGAAGAGAGGGAATTGAGCAGAAAAGGTTCACTCTTTCCCTTCCCACACCTGGGAGACCTTTCCTCCCTCCTGGTGTCAAGTCTGGGCCACTAGAACGGTATGAGGCTGGATGGAGTCTGTGTACTTTGGAAAAACGAGATGGCAGTGGTATCACTAGGGGTGTGAGGAAAGGGATGTAGAATGTACCAGGTCAGAAGGGTAACCACACCAAAAGGACTGTAAAGTTTTTGAGCAGTGTTTCACCAGAAATTTTTCCTTTTCTTTTTTAAGAAACGGAATTTTTTTTTTTTTTCCCCACAGTTTAGGAAATTAGAAATCCAAATTCAAGGCCCAGCTCTAGGGAAAGCTTTATCTGTCAACTCTAGAAGAAAGTCCTTGCCATTTTTCATTTTCTGTTCCTTGGTAATCTTCATGTGGCATTATCTTCCCCTCCATTTGTGTTTCCTTTTCTTTGCCTAATCTGCTCTTTTCTTAAAAAAAAAAAAAAAAAAGTAATAAAATTATCCCAATAGCTAGTTATTGCAACACTTTTTTTTTCTTTGCAAGCCCAGCTCACATGTACTTACAAGGCTAAAGCTGTGCTAATTTACCTTTTGAACCTTCCACTGTGCTGTGGTCAGCTCTGTCATTATTTCCCAATTAAAATGATGCTTGGAGTATTCCCTGTTGTTTTCATTACTGTTGGTGTTTTTATAGTTGCTAATTTTGTCAAATTTTCTAGTGTTTTAACTATAATTTGTGGTAATTAGTATTTGTAACTGTTGTGAGAATGAAGTAGTAACCAAAGAAAAAGGAGAAAAGTTTTTAAAGGCTTCCACTCAGTTACTAAAAATGTTGCAATGAATTCAATATAGAAAGCGTTTATAAAACAATTTTTTAGTACTTATATAATTAAAGAAATATTACATTTAAGCAATTACAACTATATTTATTAATATTATTCTATGATTAAAATAAATAAACATTACTGAGGATTCTGGTACAACAGGAGGTCCATGGGGTGCTGGTAATAACTAACCCTAGAGATACCACTGATCTCAGGGTTCACCAGTCTGTCCTATCCCATTCATACCTCTTGAGAGATTTTTCACTTTTCTTTGTTCTATTACAGGGAAACTCACAGCAGAGCTGGGTAAGTTCTGGGGGTTCACACCCACAGTGGTTTTAGGTTCCCTTGTGGAGATAGAAGAGCAGCAGTGATGTTGCTAAATCTATCCATCTGTTCCTCTACTTCTCCACTCTGAACCAGAGAAAAGATGGCTACCTACCCATGCACAGTTGCCAACCAGGTCTGATTTGAAATACTCTAGACAGATCCTAAGGAGCCCTGATGGTACAATGGTTAAGTGCTGGGCTGTTTACCAAAAGGGAATGGTTCGAAGGGGGAAAGACCTGGTGATTTACTTCCTGTTGCCTTTTCCAACACATAGCAACCCTATAGAACAGAATAGGACTGCCTCATATGGTTCCCAAGGATGTTCTCTTTACAGAAGCAGAGTCCACATCTTTCTCTTGCTGAGTGGCTGGTGGGTTTAAATCACTGACCTTTTTGTTAGCAAACTCTTCACCACTGCTCCACCAGGGCTCCCTCAGTTAAAGATTACAGTTTAGGAAACCCCAAGGGGAGGTTCCACTCTGTTAGATAAGTTACTATGAGGGTGTCAGTTGGCAAGCTGACAACACACAAAGACAGATTTGCAAATTCCTCCTTACCAAACCCTCTGGTTCAGTTAAAATACCACCATTAAATGTGTACTCCCTCTGGTTCGGCTTGCTACAAGTGTCTTCTCTTTTTAGCGAAATTGCCACTGGGAAGGGCAACACTTAATTTGTGCCCAAGGGGGGCAGTTTATCAGTTCACTTTTCTTCCCAGCAACTGGCTACTGTAGGGTGTGGGAGATTTTACATAGGAGGGGAGAATGTGAGCTCAAAGTGGGGGAGATTAAGAAAGAAGACCATGATGACTGAGAGAAAAACCTTAAGAAAACCGCCTGGCCTGCTCTAGCCATGCTTCAGACAAAACTGTAAGGTTGGGGAAGCTAGTCCTGCAGTGGGGAGCAGGCAGCTGTAATAAGTCACTGGAGTCCCTGAGTGGTGCAAATGGTTAAGTCCTGGACTACTAACCACCCAGAGGCACCTTGGAAGTTAGGCCTGCTGATCTGTTTTTGAAAGATCACAGCCTTGAAATTCCCACAGAATACAGTCTACTTTTCACACACGAAGTCACAATGAATCAGAATCGACTCAAAGAAACAAATTACTAACATCATAATCTAAATTAGTATATAGTGTTGGCTTTCCCAGAAGCATTTACTTTTTAAAAGAGGACTTAGGATGGTGATTTTAAAGGGATGCATTTCTAGTGACAATGTGTCAGTCCTTGTCATCTGGGCAGGGAGAATAGTTATATGCAATTTCCTTCCAGTATTTTATATAAAGTGCCCAGTAACGGGCCTGAGGTTCACACAGGCTATGTGCAGTACTTCTGAACTTATTCAGGACCTTCTGCCCAGAAAAGTTTGATTCTAAGGCTAAGTGTAACCTCTTCCAACCAAACTTGAGTCATGGGAATAATCCCTTGATACCAAGACCTGCTTTCCCTTCTGAATCCTATGTGGATTTCTGCCTTTGAACAAACAGCGTAAAGCATTAGAATCTCATGGATGGCCACAGATGGCAATACAGATGTAAGAATGGACTTGAGTTATCAGTGGTTTAAGATGAAGCAGCCAACCTCTTCCCAGTGACTTGACTGCTTTGGGGAGGTGGTTCCACTTCTCTGAAGACTGATGCTTTCTTCTTGCATTCTACATACAGGGAAGCTTCAGAAAGAGCTTGGTAAGTGACCCTCTTAGAACTATTTCTTCTTGTCCACATTTTGCATTTGGTTATCTGTGTATCTTCTCATCTCTCAACCAGGTTGTCACCCTACTGGCTATGTGGATGACAGAAAAAGAAAGGGGAGACGAAAGGGGGTGGGTGCAAAAGAAGACATGTGAGCAGGGAAGCTGTGGGCTTCTGATGTTTTAACCCATATTTTTCCTTGGCCGATGCAGACTGGAGAAGGACTGAAGGACAGGCTGGTGAGTGAAGCACTTTGTTCCTGCTTCCATTGATGCATATTTAAAGCCCAGTCAAGGTTCCTCTGGTTAACCGTATTTCATTCCAATCTCATTCCATAGCCTTTCACACTGCATGCATTAATCTATGTTACTTGTTAAAGGTTATACTCAAGCTTTATTTTTATTTTGTTCTGAGGCCTAAGAAAACTGTAAACCCTTAGTTCAAATCCTAAATATACATCAGAATCACCTAGACTCCTGGTATCCTCTTGGGTCTGAAATGGAAATGTTGCCATATATGTAAAAATTTCATCCCCATACCTCCCTCTCTTCCTACCCCTTGCCCCGTGAAGCAAACAATCTTCGTGTGTCTTTATTTTGTATATATTCTTGCAAATGTAAATTCCTATTTTATGCACATGTATTTTAGCTTATCTTATACTATTTCTTACTTTTTCACTCATCACTGTGCCCACATAGGCATCTGGTCTGTTTCTCTTTCTTGCTGTGGACCCCTTTATTTTAGCTATCCATCCACCCACCCAGCTATCCATCCACATCCAAATTGCCTCTAATATCACAGCACCATAAACAATGTTGACTTATTATGACTTATGGCCCTGTATAAGGAGATCTGGTAGCGTAGTGGCTATGAGTTGGGCTGATAACCTCAAGGTCAGCAGTTCAAAACTACTAGCTGTTCTGTGGGGAAAAGATTAGGCTTTCTGTAGAGATTTACAGCTTGAGAAACCCGTTACAGGGTCACTATGAGTCAGAACCGACTCCATGGCACACCACCACCACCACTCATGGCTCTGTGTGGAAAGTCTCCAGGCATTGCTGGACCCATGTGTGATGCATCCACTAGGTGCGAGAAAGAGGGACCCAGAAGGCAATGGCACCCCATAGTCCCACCATCAGTGTGTGGAGGTCTATGTATCCATATCTTATACAAGCTGGATTTCTAAGTTTGCCAGTTCATTGGGAAGAAGCAAGTGGTCATTGTTGTTTTAGTTTACTCTCCTTGAGCACTAAGAAGTTTGAACATCTCTTTAGATGTTCATTGACTTCAGGTGCTTCCTCTTCTGAAAATTGCCAGCTGAAATTCTTTGTCCACTTTTCTATTGAGGTTATTTTTCTTCTTCTTTTTAATGTTTTATTGTGAATTATGTGATAGTTTACATTGGAGAACATTAGCTTTACATTCATTCTATTGTATATCGTTTATCTATCATTGTAACCATGGTTACAATCCACTCCATGCATCATCAACCAACCAAAGGGTATACCCTGCAAACCTGCTACCTGGTCGTCAGCACACAGCCCCTCTCCCTTTCTGGGTCTAAATTCCCCAGCTGCTCCATCTCTCCATATCATCATCTCTGCCCCCATCTCTGGTGTCACTGCTTCTCTGGGTAGGGTCCTGCTCTCTGCTCTTCTCCCTTGATGGTCCCAAGGACCTCTGCTCCTAGACTACAAAGTCAGTCACTCCCCTCCTTTTGCTACAAAAGTCTACATTTACATTTCCAACCCTCACAATCAGTCCTGATAACAATTATTTACTATTGTATCGCAAGAGACCTATATGCCTCTCCTTTCATCACCCCCGCCCATGCCTTCTGGATCTAGGTTCCCTCTTGAAAGCTTGTAAGCTAGTCACTTCTTGCTTTTGTAGCCCCTCCCCTTTCCATTTTGGGTAGCCAATGTCCAAGTTGCCCATCCCTGTCTACTCTGTGTATGGAGGGGGTGGGAATGATCTTCACTGTAAAGATTTGTTCCCTCTTTTGAGCTACTGCATCCA